AACTGTGGCTCAAGTGGTGAGTGCTAGCCTTGATTACAAAAGCTCAGGGCATGCGTAGGCCCTGAGTTTAAGCCTTAGGACCAACATGAAAAAATAAAAAGGTGGTAGTAGAGGAAACCAAGGTCACTTTTTCACTCTTGAAGGAAGGATCCACAAGTCAAAGAATGCAGGTGATTTGAAGATGATAAAAGCAAGAAAATGAATTCTTTCCTGATGCCTCTAATAGTAATACAGCCTTGAGGGCATCTTAATTTTAGCCCAGTGAGAAGCACTTTGAAATCTAGCTTCTGGAGCTGTAAGAAGATACATTTATATTGTGTTAGACCATTACCTTTGTGATAATTTGTTAAACAGCTGTAGGAGTTAGACCAGTAACATATAGCTATAATCCCAACACTCAGGAGGTAAAGACAAAAGGATTACAAGTTCAAGTTCCTATTTAAAAAAAATTAGCAGTGAGCAATAGGATATTGAACAAAGAATACTAAAGAAATGCGGTCAGTTTCATGTAGAAGATATCTCTTAAGCCAGATACTAAAAATAGTAAGAATAAGCCAGGCTTAGTGATACATGACTATAGTTCCAGCTACAAAAGAGACTGAAGTAGAAGGATTACATGTACCACCATGCTGGGCTTGATTTTGAAAATAGAGTCTCACTAACTTTTGCCCAGGCTGGCCTCAAACTACAATCCTTTTATCTCCAACTACTGGTAGTTGGGATTACAGGTGCAAACCACCTTGCCAGGCTCTAGTTTTACTATCTATTAAAAGAGTCACCAAAGTAATACTCAGAAGATCGGAATATCATATCATACCATATAATAATGCATTTACTGTTTTGCTGTGAAAAGAGTCAAAAAGTAAGACTCATGGGTTGGGAAGGTGGCTCAGTGGTAGAGCGCTTGCCTTGCATGCATGAGGCCCTGGGTTCGATTCCTCAGCACCACATAAGAAAAAAGAAAAAAGCCGGAAGTGGCACTGTGGCTCAAGTGGTAGAGCGCTAGCCTTGCGCTGAAGAGCTGAGGGACAGCACCCAGGCCCAGAGTTCAGGCCCCATGACCGGACCCAAAAAAAAAAAAAAAGACTCATGAGCCTTGGTATTTATCATATAATAGATGGGTTCATTGTTTTATTTAATCTTCTTATCGTAAGTAAAAAGGTAATGACATTGTTGGATCACCCAAGGATGGGGATAAACTGTCTATGAGAAATGTATCACTGAGTGGCCTCAGGTTATGTACACATCAGAATAACTTACAGAGCCCCAAATGGTGTAGACCAGTCTCTCAGATAACTCTTAGCACAGTCTAGAGGTGCAAATATACATGGCTGCTGCCAATGTAACATGACATACTGATTTACAGTAAACATTCTTCATCAGTAGAAGGAATACATTCTAAAATAATGGTAAGAAGTTGGCTGGTTATGATGGCACACATCCACAATTCCATCTCTTCTGGGCAGAGTTACCAGCGATTGCTTCTCAAAAACAAGAACTTAACTGGGGGGTGTGCTTCAGTGGTAAAGCATTTGTCTAGCCTAGCAGGAGGCCCAGAGTTCAATCCCTAGTATGCTCCTCCCTCAAAATATAAATACATAAACTGGTAAGTCATTTTTTATTATTTTTGTCAAGTAGTATTGTATGCTGAACATAATTACATGTCCTATAATTATACAACTGGTAGCAATGTTTATATCAGCAGCATCACAAACATGTGAGTAACATGTGATGCTTTGTGTGGCTATGATATTTATCAAAGCAACAGGAATTTTTTCAGCTCCATTGAAAACTTACAGGACCACTGTTTTATATGTATTCTATCACCAGCAAAAAATGTCTTTCTTTACTTGCCAGGTGATTGATTCCTTCACTTTGTGAAGTCTTTAGTTAATCTCAAAGGAAAGATACAAAGTATTTAGGTAGAATTGGTCCATGTTTTTTTCAAAGAAGAGATAATAAGCCAGGCATGGCAGTACACTTCTATAGGCCCAGGTACTAAGGAAGCTGAGGCGGAGAAGAGAGACCAACCTTGAGCAACATAGTGAGTCTATTTAAAAAACAAAACAAAACAGCAACAACAACAATATATTCATACATATTCTCAAACTGGACCTTGACAATAATACTTAATAATGCTAGAGAGCTTCCAATCCATGTAGAATCTCTTCACAGATGACAGAGAGGGTTTGGTATTCTGCTGTGAGGTATATAAATGCTTTCCTTACACTGTGTCCTGCTCTTTGATGAGTGTATCTGCATATATTCATCCATGGAGACTGAGTCTTCCCCTAATTGCAAAGCACAATTTTAGACCTAACTCTGACTTCAGTTAGCAAAGTCAGTCAGACCCTACCCAGTGAGGTTTGATTTTTGTCTTCCCCTGAGTGGTCTTCAAAGCTTCTGATAGGTTCCAAGTTGGCCGTTGTTCTTAGTTTTCATCAGAGCACAAGATGACATTTGCATTTGTGTTATCTCCATTTCAAGGTATTTGATGGTGTTAGATTCGTTCAGAATGATTTCAGGCCAGATTCCAGATCTGTGCACCATGTTTATTAAGCTGCCCTCACCAGAGCAGAGCCCATTTCTGCATATGTGGTATAACACCTAAGCTCCAGAATCTGAAGTGAAAATGGAGAGAGAATCTTGAACCTCTGGAAGCTCCCTACTACCTCCAGTCCCTGTTTTGTACTGTGGGTTCCCCCACTGCCATCCCCAATCTCCCCACAGTATTTAATCTCACACAGCCACGGACATCCTTCCTGGCAGCTCAGCATTCTTCCACTTCCTCAGTTAGGAAATGGCCTGGCTGAGTGGCATTGGCAAGAAGAGGGATAATGTCTGTGTATTCACAGGTGTGTTAGGTATGGTAGAACTACACATTAGTTGTCTGTCCATCTGGGATGTCCAGCCTGGCTTGTAAGAATGCACTGTTGGCCTTTGAGTGACCTCAGCCCTAATGCCCAGAGTGGTGGGTCCCTGGACTTCATTCCTTTTCTTTTTTTTTTGGGTCCGGTCATGGGGCCTGAACTCTGGGCCTGGGCGCTGTCCCTCAGCTCTTCAGCTCAAGGCTAGTGCTCTACCACTTGAGCCACAGCTCCACTTCCGGGTTTTTTCTTTTTGCTTATGTGGTGCTGAGGAATCGAACCCAGGGCCTCATGCATGCAAGGCAAGCTTCTACCACTGAGCTACCTTTCCAGCCCTGGACTTCATTCTTGATGTGCAGCATTTGGCAGATAAATTTTAAAGTTAAGGCATTTTATTTTTAATAACTTTTTTTTTTGAGACAGTCTTGCTATATGGTCCAGGCTGGCCTCAAAGTCATGAACTTCCTGCTTCAGCTTCCAAGTGCTGAAATTAAAGGCATGCATTACCATTCTTCCAGTTAAAAATTCTTTTTTTATATTTCTATTAAAAATTTTCCTAAAAATGTTTTTCATAGAAATTACTTGTGTGTGGGTGTGTGCATGTGCGTGTGTGTGTGTGCCAGTCCTAGGGTTTGAACTCAGGGCCTGGGTGCTGTCTCTGAGCTTTTATGTTTAGAACTGGCACTCTACCACTTGAGCCACAGCTCTACTTCTGGCTTTTTGGGGGGATGGTTAATTAGAGAGAAGTCTTGTGAACTTTTCTGCTCAGGCTGACTTTGAACTGTGATCCTCAGATCTCAGTCTCCTGAGTTAGCTAGGACTAGAGGCCTGAGCCTCTAGGACCATATAAATTGTTTTAAAAGAAAAAAAAAACTTCCTTGTTTTTTCCTAGAACCTTTGAGACAGTAACTCGTGATTTCTTTTTTTTTTAAATTTATTTTATTTTATTTGTGAACATACTGTACAGAGGGGTTACAATTACATGGGCAGGGGTAACTCGTGATTTCTAAATATGCAAAAGTTCAAAGATCCTCTACTAATATATTCTTCTCTAATTATTTAAAAATTAGAAATACTAGCCACTAAAAAGCATTTGATTTGCAGTAAATAAAATCTCTACTCTCCCAGCATTTGTGTAAGCCAAGATGAAATTTCCATGTTTGTCATCGATATGTTCTCATTGTTCTTAAGGGATTTCATCTAAATGTTTTGCTGTCGTTGGCAAGACACAGCCCAAATGTGGTCTCAGTGATGTGTTCTGTTAATGTCAGCATTGGAACCAAAATAATCGTACTTACTATTTTTTGCCAGAATTTTTGCATTTCCACTAATGTTTGTATTTCTTGACAATTGTACAACATTGTTAGCTCTCATAAACACAAGAAAAATGTAGCATCTCTGTGATGAGTACCTTTTTTAAAGCATGAGACATGCAGATACACACCACACAGACATACCAGACAAACACACATCCACTCACCCTAGAACCTCAAATTGAAAGGTGGCACTACATCAAAATGTGAGGCCCATTATTTGTATGCTTTGAGGAAAAGGTCATGCTGAGAACATGTGTTTTCATTTGTTTCCCGTTGTCAAGAGCTGGAGGATAGGGAATATTTTAATGGATAATTTATCCTTACCCACAAAGCATCTACTCTGTGGGTTTCTGGGGTAACGGTTATAAACACCACACAATCATATTTAGTTAGGAATCCACCACATAACACTAAGTCTGAGTTTACAGGGGAATGCTTCAATATCCTCAGTTAATCAAGTTATTTTTCTAAGATTTTGCTTACTAGTACAGTAGGGTAAAACTGTGGAAAGGCACTTTTATTTTCTTAGAGCAGAAAGTATCAAAATGACTGTAGAATTTTCTGTTTGAACCAAGAAGGAGAGAGCACAGAGAGCCACTGGCTTCCTGGTGGACCCCTTCCAGCTGTGCTGGCTGGTCAGAGCCCATCAGCCAATCAGTGAGAAAGCTGGATGCGGAGCTTGTTTACCAGCATCAATCACATCCTGACTCTGTGTCTCCCTCCTCCTGTGTGGAGCAACGGGAAGCTGAGTGAGGGAACTCGAATACAGGCCTAAATAAACTACGAAACAGGGACACAGCGCAGCAAATGATGTTCTGGGCAGTTTTAGTTCATCTTTAGCCACAGGTAAGAGATTCTGCTTTGTGATTGGAGGTTAAATTGATTTCTACCCAGTTCCTTGCTTCTTCTTCTTCTTTTTTTTCTTCTCAAAACTAGTAGATTAAAAGCCACAGAGAAACGATTTTTTTAATGATTAAAATACCTTCCTCCTCTTATTACTAGGTATTTTACACTCAACAAGTAAAAAGCATGGTATTTTTATGTAAGGAAAGGGTGAGCCCAAGTTAAATTAAGACAAAAGTTTTATAAGGTCTAGTAACATTATATCAGGTGTTGAAATTAGAACCTGAAACATTAGCTCTGTGTCTTTGGACAATATAAATGTGTTGCATTGTGAATCTATTTACTTGTTAATCTTTCAGAAATCCATGTTTTAGTGTGTTCTTTGGCTTCTAAACTCATTCATTTTTTAAAAAATTTAACTCGTTTATAAGGTCTTGCGCATCCATTTAAGTGTGAAAGCCAGTTCCTTCCCGCATATTTCTCTTTGGAAGTTCTAAAGTTTTCTAGAGATTAAAGAGGAAAAAAATTCCTACTTTGTCTTTGTTTTGTGTTTAATTCTATCTTGTTAGCATTCGAGTAAATACTTTAGGAAACTGTATTTTGATGCTATTCATAGGATTTTATTTTTCTTATTGCTTTTCTGTGTGTGTGTGTGTGGGTTTGTGTGTGTTTGTGTTTGTGTGTGTGTGCCCATGCGCATGCGTGCACTGTCCCAGTTCTTGAACTCAAGGTCTGGGCACTATCCCTGAGCTTTTTGCATAAGACTAGCACTCTATCACTTCTGGCTTTTTTGGTGCTTAGTTACAGACTAGAGTCTTATGGACTTCTTGCTCAGGCTGGTTTCTAACTGAAATCTCAGCCTCCTGAGTAGCGAGGATTATAGGCATGAGCCACTGGTACCTGGCTCTTTTCCTCTTTTTATTTGACATCAACTAGTTGCATTTTAACAATTTTATTTGTGTGTATAGTCTTGATCATGATGACCCTTTTACCATTTCCCCCGCACACACACACCACTTCCCAAACTAGTCTCATCAAATCTCTTTGTTCCATTTCACACATGTATATGGAGTGTTTTATCTGCATTTATCTCCCCCCACCATTTATCTCCCCATTTGTCTGCTCCCTTCCACTAATCCTTCATCTTAGACATGTTACAATTTCTTAATGTTCTTTTTTGTTTAAATATGTTAATTGTTTAAAGAGATTCATAAAATTTTTTAAAGTAATCATATAAGACTGCATTGTGGTTTATATACTGCTTTCTGTTGTTAAATTTTCCCTAACACTGAGGTTTTTTCAGTTTCATTTATTTTCTATTTTTAAGCGTCTACTGGGGAAAAGTGTGCCTCCCATTTGAAAAATGGCTACTCAGGGATTTGGTGGTTCCCTTGTATGTGATAGTCTTCAGATTGGTGCCATGTACTTTCATTCGCAGCCAGAGGATTCCTTGCATACTTGAGACAGCTCTGCTCTTGATTGTTATCCTGTAGTTGGATTTCTCAACCCTGGCACTCTTGGCACTTTGTTCTAGAGAATTCTTTTTGTGCATCGTAGGACCTTTAGTCTCTATCTCTGGTCACTTAACCACTAGAGCCCCTTCCTCCCCACTTGGGACAACCAAGAAGTACATTATACTTTACCATTGGTGAAACATTGAAATGTGGCTTCTGGATTATTCTGGGCACTGAAGAGTTAAGGAGGAGGCCAAACTCTAGTGTATTTGCAGATGTAGACCATTGCTCATTTCCCCCCCTCGCTATTCTCTTAGAAGCTTCTGCCAACCATGATTCATGGAATGACTTTTTTTGAGCTAAGAAATCTGTGGCTCTTCAGTTTCTTTATTTTCTTTCTTTAGCTAAATGTGTTTTGGTTTTAGCAAAGTGTTTAACACAGTGGAGCTCTCTTAAAACAAAATAATACATATAAGGATACATTTTTCCCTGTAGACAGTTTTAACAAAGCCTGGGAAGTCTTCCTGCCTGGTCTTTGTTGTGTTCCTGTACCTCCCTGTCCAGCAAATGCTCTCACCCCTGAGGAAGAGGGCTGTAGGGCACACATGCTACCTTGAACAGCCCTGGAGAACACTAATGGTTTGATAGCTGGCATTTTAGAACTTCTTTTGGGGAGGGAAAAACTGGGAGGGATTGAGGGAAGAGGTGACATTGTTCAAAAAGAAATGTATTGGCTTTGTTTTGTTTTGTTTTGTTTTTGCCATTCCTGGGGCTTGAACTCAGGGCCTGGGCACTTATGTAGCTCCATACATCCATTTTAAATCAATTTTTAAAACATGAAAGAAAAAAAAAAACTTTTCCATAGTTCCTAAAGCACATTTTGATGTGTAACTATCTTCTTTCTTGACAGATCGCAACGAACGAAATAAACCAGAGCATCGTTCTTCAAGGTATGAATTTATAGTATTTCATAATCTAGTATAAAATTCCTCATTTGGACAAATACTGTCTGGAAGTACAACCAGATCCATGTTAGAGTTTACTGTTAGATTGAAATCTTCTGGGACATTCAGAGAAGCTTCACAAGGAAAATACTTTTAATTTCCTGAATAAATCTGCAAGATTCCCAACTCTGGAAGATGTTTTACTTTGAAAATTCCTATCAGTGATAGATCATGTTTTCATAATATTATTTTCTTCTCATCTCCTTCCTTTGGTCCCTTATTTTCCTCCTGTCCTTGTGAACCACTGTTTTGTTTTTTTTAAGTATTTTTTAAGTATAACATTTAAGTATTTTAAGTGTTTTATTACGTATTTAAGTATTAAATATTAATAGTGCTACTTGCCTAATTATAAAACTAATATTTCATTGTGAAAAAAATACACAGAATGAAACAAAAGCAAAAAAAATTAACTTGCCTTCTATTAACTAGCTCACTACAGCTACAATGTTGTTGCATAATATATATACATCTATATATTATGCATATCCAAATAGATTATTTTAAGTTCTTTTTTTTTTTTTTGTCATGGGGCCTGAACTCTGGGCCTGGTCACTGTCCCTCAGCTCTTCAGCTCAAGGCTAGCGCTCTACCACTTGAGCCACTTCCGGGTTTTTTCTTTTTGCTTATGTGGTGCTGAGGAATTGAACCCAGGGCCTCATGCATGCAAGGCAAGAACTCTGCCACTGAGCTACTTTCCCAGCCCTGAGTTCCTCCTTATTCTAGATTCCATCACTTTGATTTTGCATTTTATGTTGTGGGAATTGATAAGCTGTGAAGAATGCATTCATTATGTTGACTAGTCTGAAAAGCCCAAACCCTAATGCTTTTTAAGGGAATCAAACCCTAGAATGTGTTGCCTTCAATGAAGAAATACATAAAATTTCTGAAAAATCTATTATTTAGACTAGAAATGCACTTTGCAGAAATTGCAAATCAAAATAAGTAAGACCTCATGTGAGAGAAGAAAACAGCAGGGTATTTAGAATTTTGACTTTTTTCCCCTCAGGTATAATGTACGTATACTAAAGTTTACTCTTTTGTATATAGTCTTGAGTTTTGGCACACATATAAATGTTTTTACTATCATAACCACAAAAAAGCTGGGTTGTTTCTTCTTTTGGGGGGGTTAGATACTGTGACTGAACTCAGTACTTGAAGTTTTCATTCATTGGCTAGCATTCTACCAACTGAGCCATGCCTCCAAACCCATAAAACAGTTTTTACACCTGATTTGTGTGTGTGTGTGTGTGTGTGTGTGCACGCGCATGCACGCGCATGCATGCATGTACACGTGCTACTCATGGGCTTGAACTTGGAGCCTGGGCACTGTCCCTTAGCTTTTTTACTCAAGGCTAACACTCTACCACTTGAGCCATAGCTTTTTAGTGGTTAACTGAACATAAGAGTCTCATGGATTGTCCTGCCTGGGCTAACTTGAAATAGTAATCCTCAGATCTTAGCCTTCAGAGTAGCTAGGATTATAGGAGTGAGCCACCAGCAGCTGGCTAAGAAGCAGAAGTGAGAGTGCATTTAGAGCATGTAGAAGTATGGGTGACAGGAAGTTGGAAGGGTGAAAGATAATACATTGATAAAATTCAGTATTCAATGTACATTCTTATACTGAAACAGTAGACAACAGAAAAAGGTGGGGGAAATGTAACTTGACACATTGTTTAAAATCTTGAAGATTTAGATCATCATAAATTCACCACAATGAAGAATTTGTGATTGTCTCTACCTCCTCCCAAAGAGATTTGCTTTGATCTTGTTGCTTTGGGGACAGATGTGAGAGCTGGCTTTAGAGACTAGAACACAGATGACACCAGCAGAGTTGTTCCTCATAAATGCTCTGCCCTACTAAGAGGAACCATGCCACCTGGAGGAATAGCTGACTACAGGTCTAGGGTAGAAGAAAGTACTAGATGAGTCTGAGCTCCTAGTTGAGATAGAAAGCAAGAAAGTATCAACTGATAGAGTTGTGGGATCAGGCTTATTGATTTGTATTTATCATCTCAGATACTTGAGAGGCAGATAATGAGGGGAACATGGTAGTTTGAAGCCAGGCAGGGCCCTATCCTTACAAAATTTGCTGTAAATGAGTGGGCATGTCTATAATCTCAGCTAGGAGGGAGGAATAGGTAGGAGGATCAAGATCTAAGGCTAACCTAAGCAAAAAGCCTGAGACTCTATTTAAAAAATAAGGGAAAGCAAGCCAGGTACTGGGTGGCTCACAACTGTAATCCTAGCTACTGAGAAGGCTTGAGATCTGAGGATCCTAGTTTGAAGCCAGCCTGGGCAGAAAAATCTGAGCCATTTATCTTCAGTTAACCAGAAAAAAGCCAGAAGGTGTGGCTCAGTGGTAGAGTACCAACCTTGAGTGAAAAAGACAAGCAAGAGCCAAAGACCCTGAGTCAAGCCCTAGTACTGGCAGACAAGAGAGAGGGGTGGGGGGGAAGCTACCACCTTCATCAGGTCATTAACATATCACTATGTAACAACCTGCAGCATGTGCCTCCAGGTGACGCCATCAGCAGTACACACAGATAGCACTTATTGTAGTACTTCTTCCTAGCATCTTAAAAAAAAAAAGTGTCTAGCAAGACACAAAGAAAATGTGGTATATAACACAGTAGAGTTTTATTTAGTTATAAAGTTAAAATGATACCATTTGCAGGAAAATAAATGGAATTAGAGCCTGTCATTTTAAGCATAATAAGCCAGATGAGGACAAATAATAGCATAATCTCTCTCACATGTGGTATCTAGATTTTAAAAAGACATGAAAGTAGGAGGGGGACTGTTAGGAAAGAGGGAGAGAGCAGAAGAGAAGACAAGAGAAAGAATGAGGGTAAATAGGATCAAAGCCTGTTACATTCATGGATGAAATGTCATCAGGCAGTCCAGTATTTTTCCACAATTAATATGCACTAAGAAAAGATCAAAGAGCTGGGAGCGGTTACAGAATGTATCTGTAATCTCAGCACTCATGATACTGAGACAGGAGGATCACAAGTTTGAGGCCAGCTTGGGCTGCCTAGCAAGACCCTTTCTCAAAAACCCAGGGGCTGGGTATATAGTTCACTGGTAGAGCATTTGCTCTACCATAAGGTCCTAGGTTCGATTCTGAGCACCATTTAAAAAAAAAAAAAAAGATCAAAGCCAGCCACCGATGGCTCATGCCTCTAACCCTAAGTTACTCAGGAAGCTCAGATCTGAAGATCACAGTTCAAAGCCAGCCCATGCAGGAAAGTCCATGAGACTGTTATCTCAAATAAACCACCAGAAAACCAGAAGTGGTGCTGTGGCTCAAGTGGTAGAGTGCTTGCCTTGAGTGAAGAGCTGAGGGATAGTCCTCAGACCAAGTTCAAGCCCCACAACTTACCAAAAAACAAAAAAGACATTGGCCACCAATTGAAGTATGGTTTGTAGATGCTATTTGTGAAATAACTAAATCAAAGAGATGGGGGACAAAGAATGGCTCAAGTGATAGAATACCTGCCTAACAAAGCTCAGTCCCTGAGTTCAAACTCCACTACCTCCCCCTACCCCTGAAAAGAAATCCAAGCAAATAAGTACATAAATAATATTGGATAAAGGAGTGCCAACTATATTGAAGGAGAGAAAGAGAAGTGTCAATATTTTCTCCCTGCAGATTGGGTAGAACACTGAGCCTGTTTTCACCAATAGCAGCAAGGAGCAATGCCCTGTAAGAAAGGAAAAAATATTTCTTTGCAACAAAATCATTGTTTTCTCTCTAGGGTGTCTGGCAAGATTGGCAGTGATCTATTCTTCTGCCATCCTTAGGGAGGGAGCCCCCTCCCCCACCAGCTGTGCATCAATCAGATTAATACCTGCTGCATCAACCGAGCAAGATGCAGAAAACCATAAACAAAAGTCACATACTTTGTTGGCTTTTTGGTTCTCCTCAGGCCACTCAGCAGCAAGAATGACAGGCTCAAAGCCCAGCAAGAAGGAAAATTCGTTTCTTATGTTTGTATTTGTTTGCAAGGCCAGACAGCCTCTAGCTTTCACAATGAGCAGTGGATGCATTGAGTACATCTGCTTGTTTCTGTCCATGCTGGGATGTCAAGGTGAAGGACAGTTTTACCATGTATAGAGCAACGCAGAGCCCCAAGCTGAAAAGTTATTGTTTATGCAGCTTTTAGAGGCACGAAGGGTACCTTTGATTGCTTGGGGGCGTTTTTTGTTGCTGTTTTTTGGATTTTTTTTTTTTTTGCCTATTACTGACTATGGTGGATGTCAGAAATATCTAAATTCATGTCTCAGCCTTATTAGTGTGCAGATGGCTGTCCCACAGAATGCTCTTCTGTGCATCATTGGTATGTCAGGAGATGAATGTGTATGCTTAGCAAGCATGATGCTCTGGGTGAGGGGTGCCAGGAAGGTTGGTAGCAGAGTGTTCTAATACCAGAAGGAGCCTGTGAATTGCTGTCTGAAACAAAATGAGAGACTTCCAGTGATCTACTCAAAACTCTGTGATACGTTCAAATGTATTCTAAAACTCCAGGTGGGAGCTATACTCAGCATTAGATTTGAATTTGAATTTGTAACTTTCTTTCCCAGACATGGCTATCCATAATATCTAGGAAAAAAGAAGTGTCATGGAATAGCAGTTGGGAAATGAATTAGTGGGAAATAGGAGCTAAGGAAAATAGAATATGGAATCCTATCCCATAAACACACATTAGGAGCTCTTTTTTACCACCCTTCCACTTTTGAGTAATAGAACTCAGTGACTTACAGAGTAGCTGCTTCAGCTCAAGTTTACAGTGTTAATTTAAGTTTTGTAATTTTAAGTTTTGGTTTCCCTAAAGCCTTTTTGAAACTACCTACCATAATCCTCTTTGATACTGATAGATAAAATTCACTAAAATTGGATTCTTAAAAAAATCTCAAAAATCAGAAAGTGAAAACTCAACACAGTT